GTGCCCCAAATGGACACTTTTAAATTTTAGTTGTGGACACGATACGACTATTTTTTGTTTTTTCTCAGCCAATCACAGCCTCCCAAAACTCAAAAAATAGTCGTATCGCGTACTTTGACTACCACTAGTACAGGAGCGGCCTGTAACTGGACCTAGACGCGCCGAGTCAGCTTTCCGGGGGTGTTGTTCGGACAAAATGAGGGGAGTAGTATAGTCTTCAATTGTTTACCCAAGTTAGGCTGACTGGCGCATCTTTCTTTTCAAAACTACTCGGCGTGCATGCCCTTTTGATCTGGTTCTGAACTGTTGAACCTTTGTCCAAATGGATAAAAATAGTCAAACCTTTGTCAAGTCCGACTATTCTTGTCGGAGTCCGACTATTCTCGTCAAAGTCCGACTATTCTGGTCAAAGTCCGACTATTCTTTGTCGGAGTCCGACTATTCTTTGTCAAAATGAACAAAATGGATGAAATGGACAAAATTGATTTCAGAGCTCGCAAGAATCTTGCGTGACAAAAAATTCAAATTTGCATTGTCGGGCTGGTAGTGGCAAGCTGGTCCAAGAAGGATGCCATGCAAAAACAGCAAAAAACGGTACACTAGAAAACAAGAAACGGTAACTAAATAGAAAAGGGCAGGTTCTATCTCTCCAAAGCAATATGCCGAAGTTGCCGGAGATGTTTACAGACATGTTGCATACTTTTGGAAATTCAAACGTCAACTACAAATTATACTACTGTAACTCAGATGAATGATAGATTTAGGATTCATCCGATCAAGAGGGTTAAAAAATAATCTGCCCTATTCCTAATGCGACCGTGTTTTGTCTGGTCCGACGAAGTTTTGTTGGGTCTGACAAAGTGTCTGACAAAGTTCATCCATTTCAAGGGAACGTCCACAAATGAAATGAATCTTTACGCAGGCCCGTTTTCAGCAAAGCCAAAGCTCTGCATTGCGCAGAATCTGTCACCGGCATGTCAGTTTCCGTCATCCTTGCCAGGGAACCTATGACATATCTGAGGACATTCCCAGCAAGTCTGCCATTTCAGGCTGCTCCAGATTCTAAGCACGTCTACACAACCAAGGTGTCGCTCCAGATTCTAAGCACGTCTACACAACCAAGGTGTCGCTACACAACCAAGGTTTTGCATCAAAAATAGATTTGAAATGGTCGTAACGACAAATAATGGACATAACAACCAACAGTTTTATTTTGAAAGTTGTGAACTTTGGAAATTTTGTCCTTTCATTTGTGTCTTTGTCTTTTCATTTGCGTCAACATCAACATGGGCCGTCTGAAAGGAAGTAATAACAAAAAAAGCAACCATAAGGCTGGAGGCGACCGGAAGTCAAGGAAATTTCAAACTGCAAAGGAGGAGAAAGCTAAGACAAGCCATGAGTACTTCCTCTCACGGCGACATCAAAATGATCCATCCTCTGAAAAGTCACCACACCCTATGGAGGAAGCAACTGGTGGCAGAGGTCCTTGACCACCCGTCAATGCCAAAAGGAAAATTTGTCCCAAACCAAGGCACTGTTGATTTTACAAGTGGGAATGCTTGGGAAGCGAAATATGACAAGGATGATGACGGGTCTGCAAATGGAGTTGGGGACTATGGAATTGGTGCATCAAGTGATGACAACAAATCATCAGCTTATCGGAGTATAACAAAGGCGTCTGTTAAAAAGAGCGTAAGATGTAGCGTCTGTTGGAAGTCTGGCCGGATGACCAACGGTCTGTAGAGAGTACTTCATTCAACAAGATATTGCCAGTCGTATACGCCAAGCCAAGGGACGCCTTTGTACAACTACTTAATGGAAGTACAAGGCAAGATTATTGATGACAAAAGCTGTCAACAACAAAAGTTCATCCATCCAAGTAAATCACCAGTGGCATCTGGTCTGGGGAAATCTCATAATCCAAGCAACTTCTACAAAGATGTTGTGGTTTGAGTATGGATACCAGATGCACAAATACAAGTGCCCAAGTTGCCAATCCATTCAATCAACACAAAACATCAGGGAAGTTGGCGCCCCGTAATTGCAAATGGGGATATCCATTGGGTCTTTTTTTTTATGTCAATGCTCAAATAAGGCTTGTAAGAATAAGACTTTTTTACAATCGACCAAGAGTTTTTGAATGATCTACCTTCATGCATTTTGGATGAATTTGAATATCTATTTCCACCAAAAGGCATAGGCATTTTGACTGACATGCTACAATCACTATCAATTCAAACAAGTAACCATATTCTGTTTGGCGCTTACACAAATCAAGTGAACAATATAATACTATAGGCTTGCAAACTGACAATAGGACAGTTGAAGAAAGACCCTTCTATGAAGTTTTCCCATCACTGCATGATGAAACCAACATATCTTCCTCTCTCCCTGCAATTGCAGTACCTAAAAGAGAAATCCATGTCTTTGAAACAACTGCTGCGACAGATTGCTTCTTTTATTCCATCATTGAATTATTCACTGATAGTCATGACATCCACCATGGTCTTGATACAGAGTTTGAAATCCCAATGCCGCAGGCGTTGGCAGTTTTGTCTTTATCCTTTCATAAGTTTCTTGCTGTATCTGCCAACTTGCCAACTGCCATCATCCTACATTTGTATAAAATGAGAGGATTCCCTGAGTCGCTCAGGCGCATCCTGCAAAAAAAAAGAATATGGTGCCAATGGGGCGTCAGATTGGAGGTGACTGCAGTAAACTTGAAGAACAATATAGTGTCAATATAGAGAGCAGAGTTGAGCTTGGAAGTCTATGTAAAAGCGACTGTCCAGAAAATGATGGCTGGTGGACTGAAGTTGAAGAGCTTGATGAAAGAATATTTACAGTCAACGTATCCTATGGACAAATCAAATGCTCAAACTACTAGTTACGCTAGAACATTGAAAGACAAAGATATTCAATACTGTACTCTAGATGCTCGTGTGTCCCACAAGGTCGGTCATCTAGCTATGGAATCTCTGGCAAAGAAACCACTATGCGCCAAAGGTACACACACTGTAATAGATGTGGGAAGCGGGTGTACTGTTACCTTTTACAATTGTGATATTGCAAAAGGAACATTAGAATTTGTTGGAACAAGAGGGGAACAAAGCCAATAGAATGGGAGAACCATTGGCCGCTGTGACTGTCTAGTTTTGGTGGAAAATGTAATGGATGAGAGCCATTCACCAAACCGACAGCATGAATCATGGCCAGATGATGCACTTACTCTGAAGGATTTGGCTAATATTAATGGGCCTCTAAAGTTGGTGGTTGGAACAAAACAGATCCAAGTGATTGATGGTGAAAAGGAGGATTGCAATTTGCTGCCATATAGTAGTACCTTTATGCATAAATTTGTCCAACATGATTAACAGTACTTCCAATCGCTTGTGGATATGGCAACAGTACATGATGTCAGCAATGATGACACCAAGGAGGAACAGGAGGAACAAGAAGAAAGTTTATATGATCAAGAAGGAGATGATGGTACCAGTCATGAACGGTACCAAGGACTTACAAGATCACAGCATGACATCTTTCATCAGCTGCACAAGTTACCACTGAAAAAGAATTGTGAAGCAACTGCATTTTTTTATCAAATGATACTTGCAGCAACCTGGATTAACAATCAAGAAGATTGCTCCAACATTGTGACTGCACTTCAAAACAATCACAATGTTGAGGACATTGCAGCTCACAAGTTCTTCAATAGGGGATATTGGAGGCAGCGTGTGCGACGACTTACCCCAACCCCAGAAAACCATGCCGGCAATCTGACAATTGCTTCAAGGAATATTGAATAGTTGAGCTTATGAAATGGTTTGAAAAATTCATTTATACCAAGTTGAACGAATTGACAAAGACGGTCTGAAGGTATATGTTGCAGACTAGTACTGACCTCAATGAAACCCTGCATCAAAAGTATGCAGATCTTGTTGGTCCCTACTCAGTTCGATCCTTTTGATCCAATGTAAAAATTGGAATAGGAAGATGTGGTGAGCCAGATTATGGAACAGATCAACATGACATCATTGACAAAACCCAACACTGGGTCCTACATAGGTTTGGAATATTACCTTGGCCAACACACAAGAACTTACTGGACTTTTTGCCGCCAAGTGACTCAACAGTGGTTGGGTTGCAACCATTGAGATTTGATCCAAATCATGTGAGGTACTCAGAAACACCAGGAGCCAAACTCTCAAACGATCATTATTACCTCTCAAAAAAGCTTGTGCTTGCAATTGCGCTTTTGCCAGGTTGTACAAAAGATGAATTCATGTTGTACAACTCCCATCTAAAAAAATCTTTGAGCAGGGTTGCAATCCAAACATCAATGATTGGAATGCAATGGCCTGCAAATTTTTACAAGAGGCAATGAGTGAACAAAAACAAATATATCCCAAGACAGTGGATCATCTCAAGAAGTACTTCACCTCATGGAAGCACAACCAACAAATTAAGCTGTTTGGTAAACAGCTCAATTTAGCTTCCAACCCACTTATGAAAACACTTTGAGAGCAATCAACAACAAGTCCTCAACCATCCAAACTCAGAATTTACCAAAGCAAGTGACACATCTGTCACGGCCCTTAGAGGTAATGCCAAACTATGTGCCACCTGATGGGGCACCAAATCAAACAAAGCATGTCAAGTTAGAAATGAACACTGAAGACAAGCGCACTTATGAAATGCTTATTATTCTTCCCAAAAAAGAACTAACTTGACAGAACAGAAGATGCGCTTGGTATCCATATTGCCAGTCTCAAGTGTGGCATTGCTTGGGGTACAAGCAATCAAGTTGTACTTTCATTGGGAAGATGCCACAGGAGGTAAAGGAAGAATATCGTAAAAATATGGTAGAGATGGAAGTAAAAAAGAAAATCAAATCAGAAAACACAAAATTAAAGCGCAGATACAAAGCATTGAAACAAGCTGCAAGACTAAATTTGGCTAAAGCACAACAAAAAGACATACCAGAAGTGATGGAAATTATAGACAATGGTGACAACAACAAGCAAGTGTGCCTTCCAAACATGTATTACAAGCGCAGAAACATGTGCAATATAGTAGGCAAATATTCAATGAAGGATCTTGCAACAACAGGAATGTGTGTGAGTGATCAAGTGGTTGATGGTTACATTTCACTGATAATCAACGGAGTGCATACCTATAGGGGCAACAATGAACTTGCAGGTGTTTCTTCATTGATCTTGTTGTATATGCAGTGACAAGGAAGGGTGGAAGGGTGTGAGGCATCTCTTTGCAGAGGAAAAAAGAGTTCACTTTGTTACCGCTTTCTTTGCCCATTATGCGTGTGGCCACTGGGCTGCAATCATCATTGACATGACTTGTGCTGACGATGAAGATGAGACACTTGTTCATGTTGACAGCATTCCATCAGTGAGAACAACTAATCATACGGAAGTGAAGAAATTGTTCACAAATCCTTGTACACCATATGCAAATACAAAACAAGTATTGATGAACTCGCCTGATCAAGCCATTTATTCCAATGATTGCGGCATGTTCATGCTGGGAAAGTTTGTGCGGTGGGCGTTTCGGACACCACAGGATCACCTGGTGCCAAAAGAGATTCAGTTGCAACATGGATTCACTCCTGCTCAATATGGAATTGAACTGAGAAAACATGTTCATAAATCATTGAGAGATGGTCAAATCAATTTTGAAGACTCTATCCTTGAGTGCTTGTTACTGTGCTGAACGCGATTTCAACTGTTGTGTATGTCATTGGTTGAAAGTGGTCCGCAACTGCAAAGCACCAGTCACATTGTGCTTGGAGCCAAGCGTGCTGTTGCTGAAGCGTAAACTCTAGAAAGTTTTGGACCCCATCCTGTTGTACACCCTGTCGCGCTTGGTCATGAACTTGATTCCGTTGTTCAGGACGAGCAGGCATCTGCTCTTGTTGTTCGTCTTGTTCTTGCTGCTCTTGTTCTTGTTCTTGTTGCTCTTGTTCTTGATTCTCTTGTTCAGGACAAGCAGGCATCTGCTCTTGTTGTTTGTCGCCCCACAAAAAGTTGGCAGAAGCCAAGTATAGGGTCTTTTACGAAAAAGAAAGGGGTAGGGATAGGTAAAATTCAAACACTTGCAGGTCATGATTCCAAACAGTCGCGGAAAACGAGTGGCCTAGGCCCCCCAAATTCTGCGACATCTCAGATGTCACATCTTGAGTTTAAGAATGGCGAATCAGTCGTGGAAATCGATGGTTTCTGCGACACGTCAGATGTCAGAATGGCCAACCAGTCGCAGAAAACGAG